ATATATATATATATATATATATATATACACACACATATATATATATATATAAGACTGCTATGTCTGTACAGTTGACAATTGCATACAGTACAAATAAATGGTGGACGGTGTTACCTTCTCTTTGCTGCTGTGGAATGATGGGTGGAGGGTGGGGGAAGGCTTGGCTGATCTGGCCATATGCAGCTGGGTAGGCTGCTGAGACACACACATACACACACACGCAAGGATCAGATAACAGTCATGATTACACACACGCACTTGACTACATACAAACATTGTGATATATGCAGAGACGTAGCAGGCTATCGATCTGTTAGCCCGCAATACAGAATAGGAGTCTCGAACAATCACAGACACACACATACACACACACACACACACTTTTTGTGTTTAGTGAGCTCCCTTAGACATAATACATTCCCTAGCTCCCACCTTAAACAGTGTATGCCTAATCCTAATCCTTACTCTAACTCCAATCAGACCCTACTTGTAATCTTAACTCAAAGTAAATCTTGAACAGTCTCACTCAATGGGGACCTAGAAAATGTCCCCATAAAGACAAGCCATGGAAGAGTGTCTACACAGGTCAGGTATACGAGAACACTTATACACACATACACAGCCAAAATAATAAATCTAGTGAAACACTAAAAATTAAAATTGGTATATTTAAAACTTAGGACCAACAGTTCTGTTGCTTAATTCATCACTCTCTCGACACCCTTGCCCCCTCCCTCCCCTCACCCTCTCAATCTTTAATTCTGGTCAAGTGACAGACAGACCTGCATACTGCTGGACTCCGGTGTAAGCCTGCTGGAGAGGATCAGCTGCAGTGGGACTTTGAGCTGCTCCGACACAGAGTCAGGAGGAGAGGGAGGTAGAGGGTGAGGGAGTGGTTGTGTGTGTGTGTGTGGGTGGATGGATGGATGGAGGAGTGTGAGTGAGTGAACGAGTGTTTGGGATGTGGGTATGGCAGAGTGGGACGGACGGAGAATATAGATGGAAAGAGGGCAAAGAAGAAAGTAGGAGCAATACCAAATAAGGGTGAGGATGGAGGGGTGGGGGTGTGTGTGGAGGGAGAGGAGACAGATAGGTGAAAAGAAGAGGAAAACACAAGGTTAGAAAATACAGCGGCATCAACCTTCGTTTCCCACGAAGTGATAAAAGAAATTTCGAGCCTCTTTCAATTTGATGCGCCTCACAAAAAATTTAAAAACATGTTGTTAGGAGTACAATTAAAACTTTAAAGGACCTTACTTACACAATGTAAAACAACACTTAGTTTGACTGGCACCACAGAATTATACAAGTACCATAAAAGGAATCAACACACACTGAAAAAAACATCTTCCTGATAAAATAAATAGTTGTTACTAAATAATGAAAAACAAACACTTTCTAGGCTGAAAACACACAGAACTCACCCTGATGCTGTGCAACACTTATCTATTGGTTCACAGTACATTCACACTAAACAAACTTCACATGCACTAAACTCTTTCTCTCTCGCACACACATACCAGTAACTCCATCACAAAAAACACAGAACTACAAAACACTGAGTTCAAATACCTCAAAAGCTCAACTAACCAAGGAAGTATGTGCTCAAATCAAAGCTCTGTGAAATTGTAAACGTATTATGTTATGTTCAGAAATCGGTTTAAAGAATGTTGTTTATCATTCTCTGAAAACCTGTCTGGAATATTTACTCAAGACAATTTGTGACTGTGTAGACAGGTTGTAAATTATCTGGCTAATAGCTTGTCATCAACCTCACAGTTTTACATATGAAAGCACAGTGTGTGTGTGTGTCTGTGCTGGTAAAGCTTCACATGTGGGGACACACTTGTACTTATGGGGACATTTGCAGGTTTAGCCTGGAGTTAGGATTAGAATTGAAGTCACATTTATGTTACGCTAAGGATCACGAAAAGGTGTATATTTGGAGTAGAGGTTACGTGAAGTGGCCGGGTAATGCATTATATCTATGTGAAGTACTTACAAAACAAAACACGACAAAAAAAAAAAAAAAAATAGAGAGCTTCTAGCAGCATCAGTATTGGAAAACCAATTTCAGAAAAGTTATATCTAATCCTAAAATAAAAAAAAAATTAAAATATTTTTTATATTTTCTTATATAGAACTGACCAAGAGACAGCAAAAACATGTTTTTGATTCAAAGAATCCTGACATTATATTCTTTTTTCCTTTTCCTCCTTTGTCTGATAAATGATGGTTTAAAGGCAGTAACAAATTATTAGGTTTGTGTGGCTTTAAAATTGAACTTCAACCTGTTCATTTTCAGCTCATTTCAACAGTAATGAAACAGCGTCAGAATGACCTACATCATTTGGATCACTACCCTCATTTTTTTATCCTCTCAACTTTAAGCAGTTAGGAAAGACGCAGTGTACGTATATATTGAAAAGATGTTGGGAAATCAACTCGATATTACTACAGTAGTGTAGGTTATTGCTGTAAATGAATGTAACTGAAATGAATGCACCACAATCAGTGGTCACTAAAACATGTCAGGACATGTGTCTCACACAGCTTTGATAAGTTGTTTTATTATCGTCCTGTCAGGCTTTGAGTTACTTTTCTGTTTTTCCCCCATTTTTTTCCAAAACTGAGAGAATATTTGAAAAGAAGGAATTTTAGTCTTCAGAGGAGGTAAATCAGCAGTTGTGACCTGTTGTGAACCAAAACCAAAACTAAAATTAATTCTACATTGGAATACTGCCACAGACGTGTTGAGAATTAACTGAAAGAAATTCCACTTTTACTTGCATAAATAAACCATGACTTTTTCATTTGTTTGAAACATTTGTCAGATACTGTATCAGATGGTGTCGCCTTAACTTTAAAACCAATAGCTTAAATGTATTCAACACACTAACATCACTGAATGATTAGGTCACGTCAAGTGCCTTGTGTTATTAAGGACATTCTGTAGGTTTTGTGAATGAGACCTTTGGTAGGTTCGACTTATGCTGATGCAGCCTGCATTTTTGATTGGACTGGGATCTGGGGGGGGTTTGAAGCCCATGTAAACAGCTCGGGCTCTTTGTGATATGTTTAATGACCTCATTCAGATCTGGTGTTAACATCAGTCCAGACTGATTCAGTCGCTAGTGAACACAGCAGGTATGAGTGTGTGTGAATGTTGTGAATGTTATTTTACAAATCAAAGATCTTATTTGAGCACATAGAGAAGAGGTTCTGGAGTATGGAACATATTGGGAGGCATGAGGGAAGAAGTGTGAGGGATAGTGTAGTCTGGGGAGGGGGGAGAATTCTACCTTCAGAGAGAGAAGAGAGGAAGCAGCCACCCTGAACCCCAAAACAACTTCGCGGAGCCACGCCCAAGCTGTTTTTCTCAGAGTCCTCCCTAAAAACCACCTCCTGCAATACTGGGGAGACAAGAGTGTAAAAAGGGATTTTTTTTCACCTCTTCACAAACAAAACCATTGAGGAACCAGTGCACACCTTTGCCAAATATCTCATCTTATCAACATGCTCCATGACTGGACTGTATCTATACTTCCTCGGAAATAAAAAAAACATCTCAATCCTGCCTTTAATTTTCACGAACCCACTGCTAGACATTTGTAATGTAGATTTAAAAGAAAAAACACATTAATCAACTTTTTCATAATCCTTTCATTTATACCATTAAATTCATCAGGCTTACCAGGGTAATGGTGTATCCCGTTGGTAAAGACAGCTTCTGCAGGGGGCTGCCCATTTGCCTGGGGCGGTGGCATGCCAGTAAAACCATTTACACTAATGGGGGAGGGAATGCTGGTCACTGTTGGGGCGCTGATGCCTGGGGGAGTACTACCACCTGCAGCCATTGACAAAAAAACAGACAGAACATGCAGCATTACAATGTTTTTCACCCAAGAAATTGTGGAAAAGTTTTTACTTCGACTCATATCTAGTTACGACAGAGGAGCTGCTTCAGTGACCTGGTGAAGACACTAAAGGTCAGGGGAGGTTTCCTGCCCTGCTGGGGGCGTCACTGTGATGCTCCAGATATTAGATGTGAATCAAGACAGGCAGCCAGGCATTGTTGATGATGTCGATTGGCCAAAAATTACACATTTGTCTGCGATGATTGGTTGTTATAACACCAGTGTATTGTTCTCATTTGCACCGCATCAAAACATCTTGGAATATTTCAAGTGTAATTTCTTCATGCCAGTATCAATTCACTACTGCGTGTTCCTACTTAGCCCATTTTCTAATGGCACACAGTTTACATCAGAATTAAGTGCTATGTAAAAGGGGGCTCGTATTTGATGCACATGCACATACTGTTACTGCGTTATGGAGATGCAGTTGACATTTAAAGAGTTTCACTATTGCCTGAGTGTGGAAAGAATATTAATTTGATTCTAAAATTGATTTTTTACACTCCTGGGGCAACACTCACTGTTCTTTCTCTTCATTTTTCTTACACAAATCATAAAGGCTTAGTTGTATTGAATGACAACAGCAAAATATTTTGGACAAAACTGAGGCTTTTTACTGCTAATTTACAGCATTATCACAAGCTATACAGTACATGCACTTGACACATTATTGCACATTTAGTTTGCAAAATATTTCCTCGTGGTAATGAAGGAATTAAGTGTATTTTAATTAGGATGGTTGAATAAAGCCTTTCGTTTTGGTCCTAGTGGAATATTTCAAATTTGAAAAGGACCCTTTTTTTATATTACTTTATATTATGACTGAATTTACAAAGATGAAAACACAGTGGGAATGTTTGTGTTCGTAATAAAACACAGTATGGTTCTTTAAACTTTGATATTTCACTTGTTTTACCCGATGTAGGGGTCAGTGGTGCTCCTGGGAGACCATTGATGGTTGCCATGTGCTGCATCTGGGCAGCAGCAAAGGCTGCCATTGGACTAAGGTAGCCTCCCTGGCCAACAGATGCCATTAACGCTGCCTGCTGCTGCACCTGTGCAGTGAAAAGAGGAAAAAAAAATTTAAAAAGGGGAGTACAGAATAACAAAAGTGGTTTTGAGAAAGAAGTTACATGAAGACATTATTAACTGACCAAGAAAGCAAAGATACAGATACAGAATATTTATTTAGTAGTAGAAAAATAATTTAAAGTTCCATCTTGTTTCAAACTAATATTAAGACATTTTAAATCTGGGAATCCAAGTTTAGGAGGAAAATCATTTTAGGGGGACCATTAAAGCCATTGACTGAGATTCTGTGGATAATTAGAAGCTTTTAAGGATATCTTGCCTGAGCATAGGCTCCGTAGGCTCCAAACTGCAGGGCCATGGGGTTGAAAATGCCCATCTGACCAGCCATCTGCTGCATGCGGCGAATAGTACGCTCCTTATCCGTGTCAGCGAACTTTACCACGAGACTGGAGGAGGCGCCCTGTGAACACACACATCCCCCCAGCCACACACACAGAGACAGACCAGGCAGCATGTTAGTGTGTACTGACAGACCTGAGACACAGGCTCGTTTCTGCTCCTGCACAAATCCTCTGCTCTATATATTTCACCAAAGCAACAGCCTTTCAGCAATTGGTTCCCATTACAATGAAATACCTAGGAAGTCTCGTATATACAGGGACAATTTTTTTCATGGGGATTAATAAGGTATAACTTTACTTTAAGAAGGTAATTAAGTGCTATGTGACTCATCTCTCTGTGTGACTCACCTCTCGCACATAAATCTACAGGCTCACACACACAGTTAGGGTGTACTCACAGGCATTGTCTGGCTGCCGTGTAGTGCACTGATGGCTGCCTGAGCTTCAGCATGAGAGGAATATTTTACAAATGCACAACCTGGAGAGAGGGGAAGCAGAAAATGAAGAGGAGGAAGCAAATAAGTGAATGAAAGTGAATGAAAACTCACTGGGAGGAAAAAGTTTGTCGAAAAATATAACAATCACAGAAAATCACTGTAGCAGTAACAAGATACAAACTGAAAAAGTTCTTGCTCTGTGCTTTTCCTCTGTGACACTGGTTGTGATCTAGGGATTGGCCCCAAAATGTCACAGCACTCTGCTGTGGCTTACTATTGACAACCCTGTTGATGAATTCAAATGATCAACTTCCAAGTAATTATTGAGCTAAAGCCCACTTAGCCACGTAAGCTGTCGGATGAGGACATGTTAATTGAGTACACGGACACATCAGAATGATCAAGCTCACTGTAATCGTTAGGCTTAGTTATCATCAGCCTTTATTGACTGCCTGCTAAGACCAATGATGAACTTTAGGCAATGGACTCGTCGAGCACTCCCGTAGATTCTGAACTGACATTTTTCTGGCAAGCTTAAAGGGGGTTGATTTTTTTCTTATCAGATGTAGTTGACTTGTCAGGTTAATTGGGTTCAACTTTGTATATATATAGTAACTGTGACGGCTATGCAAATGTTTCTAAGTCTTTTACTGCTTTCCAAATGTACAGCATGTACCTTTTCTGTTTTATGTCTAATGGCCATGTTGATTGCGTAATGTCCGCCTGCTCTAAACGCACCTTTGCTGTTACCGTCGGGTCCTCTGAGGATTGTGCATTCCTCAATGTTGCCGAAGGACTCAAACAGTCGTCGCACATCGTCTTCTGACTGTTGTTTGTTGAGCATGCCCACAAACAGCTTTCTGTCTTCTAAATGGAAAACAGACAGGCCATGATCAGAGGAGTGTATTACAGGATATTACAGTATAATAAAGGATATATTATGGCTGAATATTCACTGACATTAAATTAAATGTCAAAAGGTGAAAAACCCTAAGCAGCTCAAATGTGGGCGTCGGAAGTGGCTACAAAAAAGGCTTCTATAGTCCCTTTGAGGTCAAACATCTTTAACAAACCTAAGCCAGTCGGTTCCCTCGTGTGCTAACTTATGTATTTTCTATTGTTTGTAGGTTGTTACATGCAGTATCTTTTTATCAGTTCCTATCCTGAGGAAACATGTCTGACGCAGTATGCCTTGTCTGAGTTGGTCGCAGTATTTGTTACATTCTACTAACACAGTAAATGTATTTCCCCATAGTTCATAAAGATACAAAACCATTACTTTGTGGATTGTTTTGCTAAAATGTAACATGTCAGCATGTTAGTACACTTGTTCTACCTTTGAGCTCCAAACAAGATACTTTGTTACTTTGACTGGAATTCAGTTGGCCTAGGATCTGTTTTTACACTACAGCAGCAATATATGGGAGTGTTGTTCTAATCAGGCGTCGCTAACTGCAACATGTTAGTTTCGTAGTGAACTTATAGCTATGGAGTGGTGCCTGTCATAGAAATGTATCAGACAACACTGACGTGGCTGGGCTCAGGTCAAGGCATAATTAAAATTTAATTGAACTGTAAGATAAGATCCACAATATGTCCAGAGGGGTTTATTTAGATAGTGCAACACACTTACTGATGCAATTATTGTTATAATGAAATGTGCAGGACAGACAGGATACCATGCCTGTTGCACATTAATGAGGCTAAAGGAGGTAAAAAAAAAAAAAGAAAAAAGATAGCTACGAAACAGGAAACAAGTTCACAGAGCTAGATTTAGTAGAAATACGTCAACAATTTTTGAAGATGCACATCTGTGACAAGGGATGCTTGGAGTATTTGACATGACTACTGAGTATGTATGAGTACTTCATTTTTTGGATACACGTGACCATACTCAATCTTAACGACGGGACGGGTTAGTATAGCAGCTACTGCTGTCAATATTCACCGCCATCTTTGATTGCAGAAAATGGTAGAACAACGGTTGGCAATGCAGGCAAAGACGAGGAGGCACACCTCTGGCCTCATACTGAAAACATGTTCAGTGCGGAACAGCAGTTAGGTGTCTTTTGTGTCTCCCAAAGCAAACATATTATATATAACCAGATATTTCAGCATTCAAAAACTTAACGTCCAACCTGAGGAAATATGTTGCTGTAAGTTTGAATTAAAATCATTTGTTTGTTTTGTTTTTTTTTCTCTTTTATGTATTATTTCATTGATTTACCTAAAGATTATTTTAAGGTATTTAATTAATTTGTTTTATTTAATTATTTTATTGATAGAATAAACTCTCTTCTCTGTAATTTTGTCCAACTGCTTTAATGCTCATTAAAAAAAATCAGATCTTACTCAACAGTTACTCAGTACTTGAGTACTTTTTTCACCAAGTACTTTTTTACTCAAGTAATTATTTGGATGATTACTTTTTACTTCTACTTGAGTAATGTTATTCTGAAGTAACAGTACTTTTACTTGAGTACAATTTTTGGAGAGATAGATAGATAGATGCTTTTTGTTATCCAGGCAAATGTTTTTGTGGATTTCATTCAGATTTATGAAAAAAAGTTTTGGCTTAAAGAAAATATCAGCAGACCTGAGTTCAGCATTAGTTCATTAGTGTGACAGTGTGACAGTGTGACAGTGTGACAAGGTCATCGAACAAGTGTTTGAGGGGAACTGCAGGGCAGATGGTGAAAGCGTGTTATTGCACAACAGCAGCAGATGTGTCAGTGTGCAGGGCCGTCTGTTTTTACGTTACACAGATTCTTAGCTTTGTGGAAATGGATGTATATGTTGGGAAATTAATGAGCCTCAGTGCAATTGCCTTTGAACGCGCTCTGCAGCTTAACAAGTGTATAGGTATGAGTAAATACGTGTGTACGTGCACACCGAGGTTCTGTTTCTCACTGTCTGTGCGTGACAGGGTGTCCTTGCCGAGTCAACAAGACTAATCTGCGCTCTGGCCTTGCATGGGTGGTGGGGGGTGTTTACGAGAGTGGAGCACACATCATGGGTTGAGGACACACACACACACAAGCACATACAACCTTCCCACCCCCCATCTCGATTTTATTATCACACACACGTACACATTAATGGTACACACCTCATTGGCCGGAGTCGACAGTTCCCAAGAGAGGGCACTAATAAAGATTACATCTTTCTTGGGGAAAGAAGATGCAGACACACACGCTCACACACACAAATACACACAGGTACTGTGGAGAGCAAATCAATATACACTAGTCCTAACAATAATGTAAAGCTCTCTCTCTCACCCAGAGACAACATTTGACACTGACTCGTCCTTATTTTCCTATAAGATATAGAGGGCCTGCTGTTGTCATGGATCATACACAATTCTAATTTTATTTTAACATCTTAACATCTTTAACATCAAGCACTCTGAACTGAAGTAATCATTCGGATTATTCTGTCATGACTTTATAAAATGCACTTTCATTTTCAGCATTTCCGAGAAATAGTGCTGTGTACTTGTGCTTTACTACACTACCCCGCGTAACGATATGAACAAAAATGAAGACATAAAATGCAATGGTTTAAATGAAGCTATAAGCAGCATGTATTTGAAGGCCCATGTAGCATTTTAACCTGTAGTAATTCACCTACTGAAACTTGTAATTATTATAACAATGTCAGTATCTTTCATTGTTACCACAGCTGTTTTTAATCCAGAAAATGTGGAATTTAACTTGTGTTTTTCTTTACATTACAAAAAGCATTTAAATTTGTAAAGTAAAGTGTATGTCCGCATTCTCAGGTACTCCCTAAAAGACCTGTCCACCTGTCCCGTACTTAGTATTTCATATTTGAACAAAAAACGAAGAAGATCAAAACAAGTGAAAGTGTATTATTCATAATTCTTTGTTCATTTTCATGGTGCACTTTGACAATAAATTGTATGTGTGCAGAGCTGCTGATGTAATGTGACTTCAAATCTCTCTTCATATACTCCAGAGTGTATTTTTATGCTATTTATTTCTACTTCCTGATCTAGATTTATTTCTTCTAATGGACTTGTGGATGTGGATTATATTTACTGTTTACTGAGGGATTTTATCTTACTTTATTTATTGTATAGTTTTACCTTGTAATGCACTCATTTGAGTGTTTCTCAGAAGTGTTTCTTGTAAGTGCTTGGAACTCACTGAGGCGAAGGTGAATCAACTATGTTGACATAGCAGTAAAGCATTAAATCCTTAAAAAGTCTTGAGATATACTTCCCATGTCAGATCTTACTTTGGGGATTAAGCTGACACTTGTGAAAGCATAATAACATAAACAAAACAATATATTTCGAGAAAGAGTTGAGAAAACAATTGATGATGCTCACGAAGCGGGTGAAGTGCATGACAAGTTAAAAAAATGTTCGACCGGGTGTCAAAAACAAGAATGAATTATTATCAAGAAACCTTGGAAGTACCACAAGGTATAGAACAATGAACTATTAAAACTCTTGTCAATAAGCTAATGAGATAGCTATATGCATGTATATAGTCAAATTACTTGATAATAATTAAAGCCAGTCCATTTAAGAATTAAATTGTAAATAAAAATACTGCGAGGATGTAGACAAAGACAAAAGTGAAAGCCACACTGAAGGCTGCTGATGATAGAACGGAGGAAAAGTTGCGGTCTTATAATTAATTGGCTCAGTATGAGGGGTGAGGGGGGGGGATTTAAAAGTACTTGAAAACTAACAAATTTGAGGGGATAATAATTTGGTGCCTTTTACTTTTTAGCACAGAACCCCTGAAGCTAAATACATTTTAGCATTTTGAAATACTGTTTACTACGTCGCTAACATTAATGCTTACTTTGCCAATGGTAGCTACTAGCTAATATTAACAACCCCAAAGCTCAACCCTTCTAATCTCAGCCTTTAAGGTCAAGTCTTTAAGGTCTATGGTTGTTAATAATGTGATTTGACAGGAATGTATTTTTTTTAATATATAACTATTTTTTATAATAACTTTCATTAATACAACCTCCTCCACAAGCAGTAGCATTTTCCCTTTTTCGGATAAACCACACCCATCAAATTAACCAATCACACAAAACTCCCCATATTACTTCAGGTTTAAAGTTACATTACAGAAGAAAAAAGCCCAAATTTACCCATAATAAGCCGACCAGGCAACTGCAAGAGTAGAGGACTTACACATTAGCCAACAGCATTTCACAGTTAATACTCAAATACTTTTAAATGTTGGGCTATTACTTGTAATATTTTTCAGCAAATATTTATGCTTCTAAAATTTGATAGGCTCATTTTATCCTCTAGACTCGCAATTAGCCTGTGGTCTTAAAACCTGATATAATCAGATAGATGAAGACATCGGTAAGTAACAAGTAAAACTGGGTTGAGGAGAATAGACAGACATAATCAGAAAGAAGCACAGATGTACCGCATTGGCCTCACTTTGCTTTGTCGATCTCAGTGCTCGCCTCTGTTCCATGCCACACAATCAATCATACTCACAGCCCCACCAAACTATATGGAACAGCATGTCACACTTTTTTTTTCTTCTTTTTTTTTTTACCAACTTGCACCTTTCTTTCAGCCCTTGTGCTGCACCCGGCTTATCAACTCACAACTCCTTGCATGCTCTATTTCTTCTTTTTTCATCACTTTTTCACTCCTCCTGCATGAAGAATCATTCTGCTGCCAATTATATTAAAAACTGCAAAGTTTGAAAGACTTCAGCCAAAACCGTTTAAACGACATCAATCTTCTTTTGTACAGTGCATTGATTGGTGTCAGGAGCGGGTCACTACCAATCCAGACTTTGTGAAAAAACAGCTTTAAGATGTCTTGTCTGTCACTACAGAGTCAAATAAACAGAAAATACCTCGCAAGACGGACAGGCTACCTCACTGTTGTTCACACTGACCTGTCATTTAGAGTCATTTACATGGTGTGACTTCAACATTAGTCAAATAGGATTTCAGGGTATTAAGGTGCTAAAGTGAAACCTGCATGACAACACAACCAAACATGTGCTTCTTTGTGTGTTTCTCTGTGTGTTTGGTTGAATGTATATTCATCAACCAGCTCCACGGTGGAGGCTGTGCCAGCCATCTGAGCTGCTTAACATGTTCTGTATAGGGCCAGGCTGCACTGTCAGCCTGCATTGACACACAGAGCATTGTGTTATAGGACAGATAATGGTTAGGCTGACATATGCAGGCAGCAAACATGCAGGTCCGGAGGAAGGGAAAGAAATTAAAGTAGAGAGAAAAACAAGACAGAAAGGTTACATACCTCCTCGGCTCTCACTGTCTGCTGGCTTAACCTGGATTGGTCTGTTCATCTGTGACAGAGATAGAAAGAGGAGCAAATAGAGTATAACCAAAGAGATAGAGAAAGAGAAAGAGAGAGAGAGAGAGAGAGAGAGAGAGAGAGAGAATATTACTATTAACTACTCATTTAATAACACACACACACTCCCTATTCTTTTTTTAGGGTTTTCTTCACTAAATTGAGGGTAGACTGGAATAAAAATAAAATCCCCCAAACTGTAGCAGGATTGCCATTGGGGAAAGACGGTTGGTTGGGAATATGGGTTGGAAAAAATTATTTGATCTGAGATGAAAGGAGTGAGGAGGAGGGTTGTAGAGGGGTATGAGCAGAAGGATGAGGAAAACGATAGAGGGATGGTGGAGAGGTAACTGTGTGTTAGCTAAGCTTCAGGGACTGTGTATCATCTCTGTGGCTGCTTCTGGATGCTATCATGATTCATGATGTGGTTTATGTGGATAAGATATATTGCTGTGGATACACACACACAAACACACACATGCAGAGTTGTGTGAGCGTTAAAACTCCTGAGCTGTGCTGCAAAATTTTCTTGCACAAACTTCTCTCTGCCTCACACACAAAAGCCGAACGTACCATACACACACCCACACACACCCACGCACACACACACACAGTCCGTCTCTGCCCACGCGTGTCCGTCCAGGCCCTGCTTTCATTTCAGCCCTACGTGTCAAAGCTCTTCACTCTGCTAAATGTTTGCCGCCAATCAATTTTTAATAATGCCAATCGCTATGCTACCAGGAGGAATGAAGCAGCAGGATGGATTAGTGTGTGTGTATGTGTGTGTGTGTAAGCAATATCGAAGAAGGTGAGCAAAAAGGGAGTATGAAAAGGTCAAGGTTGTGTGCGATGCAACGTCATTGTTTTGCTAAATGTCATTAAATCATTTATTTTGCATTTGCTGATACAGTCACTGTCCTAATAAATGTTGGTGCTTTAGATGACGCACCAAAACCAGAAACCCCGGAGCACGAGGGGCACACTGTCGCCATACAAACACAATTAATGCCTGGACCTTCACCCTCCTCTGGAGCATTTCTGCAGCTAATATTAAATCTCATAATTCTCCGTAATGCTTAGTTAAAAAGGAGTTACCCATTCCACCCTCTCCCTCGTCTCCTCCTTTCCTTGGACAGCCAAGAGAACCCTACTAATGTTTTTAATGTGCTGTGATGCATTATTTATCAGACCGGCTGTTGATATGGAAAAAAGATGAGAGAGGATGAAGAAAATGGGCAATGGAAGAAAGGGAGTTAAAATGAGTAAAAAAAAAAAAAAAAAAACAGGGAGGGAAAGGGAGTAGAAGGGGTAAAAGAAGGATGTGAATAAAAATGTTTTAATTGGCAGGGGAATAAGTGGGGGGCAAAAGGAAGGTGAGAAAGAAGACAAACTAATTGGAAAAAGTTAAGAGAAATTGGTGGGTGCTGACTGAGGGGATAGGAATCTGCTATTAATAAAAGAATGAGAGGAGAAAAAAAGAGGAGAGAAGAGTGGAGGAATGAGAAAAAGAGGATGGAGGAGTGGGGGTGAGGACATAGATCAGAGTATGGGACAAGGTCAACCCAGTGCTCCCAGAGGGCCTATAAGCCTGCATACATATGAGCGCTTTTACCATGACCCATACAAATGGTGTGGCCTCAGTCTGACCTAATTGTGTTCTGCCTCAGCTGCTTTCATATGCAAGCGCTGGTCTCTGACTGACTTCTCTCTCAAAGGTGCTGTTTATCACGTTGCTTTTTGTTTTTTTGCACTTATATTCAAGGTACTGTAAAAATATTCGAGGCATGTGGAAAGCTACAGACGTATGTTTTTCTTTTTCAAAGTCTGTAAATAAACATAACACCATCCCATTCCCTATTAACGCTTAGAATAATATACAAATATACTGACATTTGTGCTATGCAGCCATAGCCTCACTTTTTGATTCCACATGAACTTATGCAAAATATTCCATCAGATATTTAGGTGGGATTCGAAAATAAACAAACATTAAAATAGACCTTCTTTTGCTCAAACATAAAAACAAGAAGAATCCTTTTCAATTAGCTCCGTATAAATTAAAATACGAAGCCGCCTTTTGGCCTCTGACTGTGTTTTATTACAAAGTATTTAAAAACAAGTTGTTTTTTTTTCTTCTGATTTTACTTCCAAATGCACAGAACCAAGTTTTAGGACACTGGCTCGCTTTGTACTGCCACATATTGAGTCAGTTTCTACATATATATATGTATGTATATATAAAATCTTGATTCTTGCTTATAGTTTTGAAATGACTTTGAAAATATCATTTATCATCATTTAATACCATTATGTTCCATTTGTCCGAGAAAGCTGCTTGCATTTTTTTTGAGCTCACGATCAGTAGTCTCCATTATCCCTGGCACATAAACTGCTCCACGGTCAGCTTTATCATCCTGCTCATAATAGGGGGAGTTAGCAGAAGCCCGATGGACAACTGATCCCCAAACAGTTGTTAAAAGCAGACGCTGACTAGCACTGATAGCTCCCGGAGGATGTCTGAGGTGGAAACAGCCAAAGCCAGATGGCAGCATTGAGCATCAGGAGAAGCAGCGCAACATGGAGACAAAACACCAAGCTCCCTTCAGCCTAATGCTAGTTTTAAACTATTAACACACTCCATGAGCAGACAAAATGTCACACATGGGCTGAAAAACAGACGCCATGCACCAACAGTGATTTTCATGCATATACTGTAGGTGCACATGTGGGCAAACACAGTTGATATGTAAATGGTTCTGTGTGTGTGTTTGTGTGTGTGTGTCGACATGAGTAAATTGGCTGATCTCCACAGCTACCCTGCTAATGCCTCATACACCGCACGGTTTTACTCTCGGCCTTGTAAATGCAATTATATCCAAGCACACACTTATTCACACCCCCCCCTCCCCTCATGCATGCACACACACACTTACAACCATATGTAAGCATGTACATACTGTTTATATACACACACATATATATCTACATATATGTGTGTGTGTTTGTGTGTATATGTGTTGACGTATATGGATTTTCCGAGGGGCTGTTGACTGATTAACATTTGAAGACAACGGTTTCACCAAAGTTTTGAAACTGACTCTTGACACGTTCTCTAAGTCGCTATGGAGAGCCACAGTAACGACTTAAATTCACCAGCTCTATGAAGCATAATTCAGAGTTATACTTTTCAAATTTTCTTCTCGACATGGCTCCATATAATTTTGCTCCATCATTTGGATTTGTCACAAACATCACACACACACACCTCTACTGTATATATCCACTGTTGTTTGTGTGTGTGTGTGTGTGTGTGTGTGTAGCACATGAAGTCTTGCTAGACTTCTCCCTTGATTATGTAACTAAATGACAGCGCTCTGCCTCAGTGCTGCCATAGATTCCCTGGTAACTAGAAGCCGAGGGAATTCATGGTCTGCATGCAGCCTGTGCCGTACCACGCTGGTGAGTCATTCTTCTGAATCAGTCTGGTACGGCTTGAATATCCAGCGGAGCCCATAAAATTAGCTCCAAATATTGCGGGACAATAGTTTGTGTTATTGGATTCGGCCCTGAAAACGGGACAAAATTGAAGTCCTTGAAGTGAGTTTTGCTGCTTACTGTATTGATTTAGCTGTGTACGAAGCACAAACACAGCATCACAGAAACAATGTTACAGTGACAGCTCTATGGGATTTTTTATCCACTGAATTTCAGTATAGTACCTTGTTATGTCAAATGTGCTTCAGGTTCATTTTATTACAACTGCTAGCTTCCAAAACAATACACATATAAACACACACACACACGGTGTGCAGTCACTCAGACTCATATCATTATCTGTGGGGAAAAAAAAAAAGCAGTCACTCAGGCTCATATCATTATCTGTGGGGGAAAAAAAAAAGAATATTGAAAGTGTGCACTAGGAAACAGACGAGGAGCTAGGGTTTTCTCATTTCCAACCTTGTCTAGCAGATGTGTTTTTCAGAGAAAGACAGGGGGAGAGGGAGAGAGGGAGAGAAAGAGGGGGAAGGGGGGAGTGGTGCAGGCTGGGTCATTTCATTATCACAGTGAGAAAGCACTCCGAGAAACTCTCTCAGGGAAGCCAGAAACGCTGCCTTCATAACGTCAACCTTCTACAGTTGTCAAAACTTGCTCTCTTTTGCATTCTGCAGCTGAAGGCCATTCTCTCCACCTTTATATCAGCTGCGTTTCGGTGTTTGTATTAGACACATATTTTAACCTAAATCATTAAAACTTATTATATACATTCTATACATTTAGTATAGAATAATATGGAAGTGGACACAGTTCATGAGACGCTGATTGGACTTGATTGTCCGTTCCTGTTTTGTTGTAATTTAATTAAAAAAAAATCCAAGTTGTTGACATCAACAGTTCCCAGACATCGTATTTAATTGCATTTTTAGAAACTGGACCAACTTTTTTGGTAGTGAGCTTTGCACTGTCTTTGTGCACATATTGTCCCTATGCATTTCCCCTTGTTATTACATAGAGTTTTCAAGGTATTCTTGTTCTCTGCAGAAGCAGTACCAGTGGGTACTGTATACTGTATGTGTGTAACCAAATGCCCAAATTCATGATGTCAAATGAATCACTAGCACTCGACCCAGATCTGCTTTCCAAAATATCTCAGCATGCAACACACAACACTTGTCCTGGGATGGAAGGATGCCAAAGGAAACATTAGCCAAACAAATATGGTTGTAACCCTGGGCTGCTTTTGGGAAACAGTTTTAAAAAACTAAACAAAAAACCCCAACTCGTTTACAGGATAATCTGCAATAATAATAAAAAAAAGTTAAGCAGATTTGTAATAGTAATATAGGTTGATACACAGTGGAAAATCCTCCCATATTCCAGGTTCCCTACAGCAAAATACATATTTATGTGATTTTGACATCTTGCAGCCTCCCTGAGTCTCAGAAGAAAAAAATTCAAAAGGGCAGCTCACACCCTTCCACCACTTTTACTATGCCACTGCAGACTGCGGAGAGCTGGGCTGTAATGTGACTAATGGACGTCGCCTTGTGTGAGGAGGAGAGTGTTCTCCCGGAGCACAAAATGTGCTCATTCAGGGTGAAACTCAGGTCAATCAGTCAAATAACATTTATTGACTTCCCACATTGGTAGGCACAACGACAGGTCTTTGTATAAAACATTTGCTCGGACAAAGCTCGACAAGTACAGTTTTGTCAATAATAAAATATGCATAATAGTCTTTATCGGACACAACACACTGACCCAGATCTTATTTAGGAGTGCTGCAGGAGACAGGATGTGCCGACGCACGTTTCTGCGGTTGGCCTGGTTGCCAAATGTATTGCAAAGCATCAATAGCAAAATTCATCTTTGATACAACTCTAATAGTCATCTATCAATGATTCAATTATATATGTTATGGTAGGGTAAAGTTAAAGAACAGATTGTATGTTTTATTTTTTGTACTATTTCAAACATAAGGTCCTTGAATTTAGGCCTTGACTCGACTGGATCGTTTTTATGATGATAATATAAAGTGAGGAGAAATTTGTCAACACATTTTCCTATTTACAATACAGGCCAAGAGGAGGTTAAAGCAGCTGTGTCATGACAAAAATATTCACAAGGAAAACCAATATTAGCCTCAATTGATTTTTGTTAAAGCTACAAAGCTGAAAAAAAAGGAAGCAATAAAAAGGCTATTTGTAAATGCAGCTACAAATGTAAGTAAAAGCAAAATGTCACCAAGACGTGACCTTCGACAGCCGGGTACTAAAAGCTTCATGTTGACATCATCAATATATAATCTGTTCTGCCAATAACTGAATAGGGAAGATATTAAGAATGGAAGCTACAGAATGGAAGCATACATAGTGGCTTTCTTTAAAAAGGTTGCCGATCAATACTACGCTGCCGTGGAGTAAAACCTCTTTTCTGTGATCCTGAGCTCGATCTGAAATCCTTCCTGCACAGGTTCATTTATGTTGTTGTCCACTCAACCGTGACTTCTTCACGTGGACCATGTGTTTTCCTTGCACCTTCCCTTCGCTTCATCTTGACATGTGGCAAAACAAGGAAACTCCCGTTCAGTGTTAAAGAACGCCTATTTTTAAAGAATCCATTGTTGTGAGAGTGTAATGAAAGCTACAACTCCTAATCTGTGGTGCGTTTTTTTTTTTTTTTTTGAACTTTTGTTTCTCTTCATTCTGGAAATAAAGGATGTGAACCTGAGTAGTGAGTAAAACAATTAGAAATAAAAAACATGTAACCACATTTGAAAAGTCACAGAGCTGTAAACAAGAGATCTGAGATCAGTCCTTTTAAAAGGAAAATACTGCAAGATGGAAAAACATTATTTTTTACTAAGTGGTTTTTATGCTCATTTAAATATGACCCTGTTTTAAACCTGTTTTCATTTATTATTCACTGTACATGGAAGGATGAATATTCACAACACAAAACAAATATTGGCCTTGGTCAAATAAAAAACTAAACTAACTAAACACTAATTTATAAGTATTTATAACTGACAAAATAATAATAATAAACATCTGGGTGTTCCCTTGTTTCTGTTTTTTCGCTTTGTGACCGTGCTGTCGCAGCAGCATCCATTACACCACCACATTGGTGCAAAGGCAGGTAAGAGAAAGAAAAAAAAAATCATAAAACGAAGGCAACACTCTTTGTTCAACCTTCTGATCGTCACAGATCCGACACACAAACATAAAGTAGTGGAGATCTTAAAAACCTCGACAGCTCTGAAGGAACTGTCTTTGAAATGTTCTCCTCTGTTCTTTAATGATCAGGTCCACGCCTCTTCACAGCTAAAACACATTCAGCAACTAATGTTATTCTAGAAAAATATTTTCTCCAACTTTCCTGAAAAGAAGCACATTGTCTCTCTCTCACACACACACACACCTAAGACTCGTTTCTCATTCGCCTGCAGTTGGTTTACGATCAGCGTTGCTTTTCTCACATCCAGTGCTGGATCCCGTTCACTCTAGCCCACCTCTTCTTTTCTCCTCAGTTCTCTTGTTCTTTCACTGGCAGGCAGCCTGAACACTAGTGGGATGGCGATGGATGCAGATTTAAATAAGAGGTTACAGTATATATGCAGCCCTGCCCTCCCCCCCTCCCTCCCTCTTCCTCCCTCCCTCTCTCTCCCTCTATCTGTCTGGGGTTCAGATTTATTGTCAAACACAGTAAATGAGTGTGCGTATAAAAACATTAACTTTCCACCAGAGTTAATGCATTGTGCTAATGCATCACGCTGCTGTGTTAAAACCCTTTGTGATATAAGACGGTGTGAACTTGTTCCATGTAAATGGATTGAACAGCTGGGCGCCAACACCGCTGCACATTTACCGGTCCAAACACTCACACTTTTACACTCCACGTGCAAATGAGACACACATACATCCACACAATGCTGAGCTTTGTGTTTACAGGACGCAAATAGTTGCTTTTGACACAACACCGAAACCTCAGTTGAAACACACAGCAATTATCACACGCCGCCGCTTGATCCATGAGAAGGAAAGGCATCATTAATCGAGACACCGACGGCCGTGGAAGAAGTAGGCTGCACACACGCCTTCACAGCGTGACGTCTTGTAGTAGTTACACAATTAGAAGTACAGGGTCTTGGCAATCAACAACTCCGACGTTGCCATGGGGACTATATCTTTGACTATAAAAAGAACGGATCTATATAAGGAGGCAGCTGGGGGCGGAGGTGTGGAGGTGTGGAGGGAGGCAGTGAGAAAAAGAAAGAGCAGAAGACGCAGAGGATGAAAAAAGTGTGAGAGAGCTGGTGTGAGAGAAGTAAAGGTGTTGCTGCAGGGCTGAGCAGTTCTCATTTAATGTGTGAGCGCGCATCTCCGTGCCCAAAGCACCTGCATGCATGTTGTTACAAAAACCACATCACATACAAGCCTCACTTCCTGCATGTGTGTGTGTGTATGCTTACAAAATAATGGGGAAGACAGGTTGATAGAGACACATTTAAATAAAAACAATAGGAAAAAAATAAGAGATTTACGAAGATAATACTTAACCCGTGACTCTCACCTCACACTTTTTTTCAGTTTTCTTTCTCAAAATACAAGTTTTCTACTTGTCCAATAAAGAAAACATAAATTAGTGGATATTTCTCAGACACATTTTTTTATTTTATTTAACCCAACCAACCATTCAAAATCAGTGGGTTACTGCCAGTGAGGTAATCTCTCTCTCTCTCTCTCTCTCTCTCAGTCACACACTCACCCACCAGTATATTTAATCATTTCCTAATGAGGGAAAGACTAAGAAGTGACTTGAAAGCCTGTGCTTGAAAAAAAAAAACGCTCACAGCTCATGCAAATGTAAATATAGACATGGATGCCAGCTTGGGCAAATATACTTTGTGAGGAAGTGTGAGCTTTCATGTTCAAATATGATGCAAATTGCACACATGCACACCCACATGTGTTCACGCAAACACACTCTTGTCTGTCCTTTGAGGTTACGGTGGGGGTGAGATGGCGCTGTAATGAGCTGTCACTCACCAACAGCCCCGCAGTGGAGGAAGAAGGAAAACAGATGCATTTATAAACAACAACATGAAAATCTATAAGCACTTTGTTTTAGTAATGGTTATGGAGAGAGGAGCCGTCAGATAATGTCAGCATCGCTGTTCAACGTTCAGGTAAGTTGGGAAAGAGGATTTGGATCGCAGCATTTTTTTATGTAGTAATAGTAAAACTACCTACAACAACATGGTCAACAAGAAACTATTCCTGCATGCTTGTTATTGATTATTGACATTCATACTCTCATCACTCATCAAGCTGCAGGCAAATAAAATGTTTTGTCTTTGATAAAAAAAGAGTATTTTTAATTCTGTTTTTAGTTTTCAACTCTGAACGACTAAAACTAAAACAATGTCCAAAAGTAAAGCAGCTTTGAAGGCAAAAGAAAAATTTCAGAAAATTGAAATGTTCTGTAAATTCTACTGCAATTTAGTTTTTTTTTTAAAAAAAAAAAGTTTTAACTTTATCAACGTCATAATGAAAAGTGAGAACAGAGAACTCTTATTTAAAAAAAAAACAAAAACGCTAATTATTGTAGGAAGGTGTGACGTGTGATAATAACCGAGACTGAAAAGTGTTTTATTTTTCCTTCTCCTTTTCACACATGTCGAAGTGTGAGTGTGTGTTCTACATTGGCTGTGTGTGAACCTTTTGAAGTCAGGCAACTTTTTTTGAAATGAAGTTTGTTCCTGTGATGGATAATTCATGTTTGTTGAGGATGCTGTGATTTTTAATGCAGTGTATTCAGGCGTTTTAATAAGTCGCTCGTATCGTAATAATAATCCCTGACTTTGAAATTCCTCTTAACTGGTTGACGACGGCAACGAGACACCGGACTGGCGGTAAACCTATGGAGTATTGGGTCACTGGATCGGCACATGGTTTCGAGTATTTGAATGAAGTATTGAGCCCTTTGTGCTTTTAAAGTTTCTTCACGTGGAAAGCTAATGCTAATTTCAGTTCTTTATTCAGCTTTTAAGCCTGAGTAAACAGAGAGAGGAACCAGCGGACAAAGGAGAGGGAGAGATAAGACACATGGTTCTCTGCGTACCCACGGTACACACTGAGAATCATTATACAGTTTATTAACGTACTCTCTACTCAGAAATATGGAAACCTCATATCCAGGGAGACACACACACACACACAAATCCCACACACACTTATCTGTATATTTTAATTTAAATAATAATCACCATTTCTACACTTCACTCCCTGGCTGATTAAATATAGAAAAGGCAAGAGGAGGAGGAGGAGAAAGAGAGAAGGCTGTGAGATGTATGTTTGCAACAGAAGAACACAGTAGATCTAAGGAGAAGAGAGGAGTTAAGAGTGGAGGAGTGAGGAGGAAGTGATACACTTAAATCTACCCGTTAGGCTCCGCCAAAGAAACAACAGGGAGTTTTTCAGTTCGACAGCTTCACTGGCCCCCAGCTCCCGTCCAGGTGGGCGATGTGAATATTTTCTCACTCCCACACTTTTAACAGCAAAAAATATGCACATGCCTGTAGCGGAGGACAGTATAGATGTTCGTGCACATGAGCGCAGATGTTAGCATGCCCTGCACCAGCCTGCCTGCTCTAACCAGCAGCAGGCAGGCTGTTAATAACATTGTATTCAAGAATCTTTTTCCAGTCACTAAGAAAATAATAATAATAATAAAAAAAAATTCCATCTGCCCCTCTCCCTGGTGTTTATCTACATCACATACACTCATTTGTGTATAAATGTTTTACCAGAAATATATCGGCAGAGCAAAGAAATATTTATCTCCTTCAAGACAAAGAAGCCAAAGAATGGAAACAAGCAACACATTACTTTAACAAATACTTTTTTGAATTTTTCATAATCATCATAACAAATTCATCCGGTCAAGACTCTTGCCGATCATTACCTAGTTTGAAAAAGGTACAAAAAAACTTTTCAGGTTGGTTTGTAGTTACCGGAAAAAATACTGTTTCCCTACTACACAATATAATCCAGTACTGATTTAAGGTGGCTCAGCTCTTGCCTCCACCCTTGTATTTAGCAACCAAGCATCTATAGCGATCTTTAGCAAAGTAATACAGACCTGTGACTTGTGAATGTCACTAGAATCAATTCAAGCCAGTCATCACGTTACTTTATGGATAATGACGCAACAGGATATAGACCTCATGGTAGGTCCTCATTTGGACTACAGTACAAAAAATAAGGCTTTAGGGCAGGTATTTTTTTAACTGATATTAAAAAAAAAATCAACGCAGAAACGCACCTCAATATTCTGAAACTGTACGGTTACATAAAAGTGTTGCAATCAAGAGTTACTTCAACAGCACATCGTTAGAGCTCGACCTTTAACACCGCACCACTCTTAAAGGTTCCCCCGGGATCCCCCGTGTGTCAGGGATAGTGTTTTACGTGTATGAAGTAAAGTTAAAGTGCTCATGCAACTCTGCAGTGGAGCTGCCTTTATTTTCATTACCTGTCAGAATAGGTATTATGTCATTCTTATGACAACGCTGGCCAATATGTCGGCCTCTTTAGGTTGAGTGCATCCATCTGTGTTACTATATATCTGACTGTAATATCACGCTGGCTGTTGGCCAACGGAGTCCTGGTCCGCCAGGTTGGCTGCCGTGCGTTACCACATCTCTCCAGCTACCTTAGTGATGGAAACACAAACTTTCCGGGCAGCTTTTATCACAATTTGAATCCATAAAGAAAACGGAGTATTCATAAATCAACATTCATGTCTGTGAGCATGAGGTTCACAGATCCATAGGTTTATTCCAGTGGTTGTAAAATCATTTAAAGAGAGGAAATCTGGAAGTACCTCTGTGTGCACCTCGGTGTAGGCCACGCTGATGCAGAATGACTGATTTCATACAATCATTTCTCTCCCAGCTGATTTGAGAGAAACTATTGGCCCCTGGGAGAAGGCTGTCACAACCAGGGAAACTCCAGCTGGGGCCACTCTGTTGAGGTTTTCAGCCCCATCCCAGGGGGTCCACACCACCACTTACCAGTTGAAACAAAAATCAATGGCTTAATGATCCAAAACAGGAAATAGAATGAGAAAAAAGAAAGTCCCTAAAACAACAAAATGTCTTTGGCAAGAGACATTGTGTCCTGTGTGTGTGTGTTGAAAGAAATTTGCTCGGATGGTAAGTGAGTGTGTGTGCGTGTGTGTGGACAATCACCCATTGCTTTGAGAGAGTGAGCTTTCCCTAGCTTAGTGGCGCAAAACATATTGATTTATTGATTGCCTGTTTCACCTCCTCACCATCTCTCTCTCTCCTCTCCTCTCTCCTCCTGCCTGTTATAAAAGCTCCCAGGACTCGTGACTGCAGAGAGAACTAAAAAAAGGAACGTGAGTTTTGGAGCGATGGAAGAGGGGAGACAGTCGGGAAAGGGGAGAAAGAGGCAGCAAGCGCAGGAGGGATGTCCCATCTCGGAGTAAAGTCTGCCAGGCTTTAACCAAGGTCCCTACATCAGTCAGATTTATGAAGAAAGGTCATGACCAAATCAAAACCTTGACCTATCTATGAGGATACCAATTTATTAGCCCCCTGCTAGTGGGAGAGGGGATGACTTGGCTGAAGCTAATATCCTCTAGCCCGGCCCAGCTTCACTGTAGACATCTGGATGACGACTAGCGCAGAGGTTGGTTGTAATTTGTGATTAGTCGGACGTTTTAAGCTTGTACTATTTCCCATCTTTGGCTTGTGCAGCTCTCGGTTCATAAAAGTCACAATCCATTTAAAGCGTGCGGTGTCACTGTAGCAGACTGAATTCCCAACCCTGTGTTGACGGCCTTTTTCCGGCCACATCACTTTCAATTATTTGCATGCTACCAAGAAAAAAACCCCCATCTTACCCCGTTGAACAGCCTTGAAAAAAACACTAAACGTTGTATCACTGACACATAATGACATCCAAAGTGAACACATCAGCAAATGCTTAAGATGTGAAAACAGTAACTCAGCACAGAGCAAGAGGAACGTGCCCGTAGCTAATAGAAACATGCGTCATCATCAATTTGCGCCCTCTTCAGAAAACTATGACTCATGGGGGATGCTTATAAAAAGCATGCCCCCGTGTTAGCCCCAGTGTCCCTTCCTAAACCGAGTCTGTCCATAAATTATAGACAGGATGAAATGCAGCTCTCTGTTTGACAGCCCTTAATTTCCCCCTCCCAGAGAGACCCAGCACAAAGACATATTTGCTGTTTTTCTGTCTTGTCTCTCTCAGAACGAGACCAAAAGGATGAAAAGAACTACACCAAAATGAATTCCCCCCGAAGACATAAAAAAATATATCAGTGAATAATAAAGAAGTGCAGCAGGAGAAAAAGTGCAAAGTCACAGAGAGAGAGAGACAAGAAGACTAAAAGTCTTTTCATTTTCCCTTCACCACCAGTTGCCTCCTGGTTGTCATGACAACATCTTATCCCGGGGCTGGTCGACTCCCTCTGGGGGCAGCTGGGAAATCAGGTACGGGAGGGGCACATGAGACCAAGGCTGTTCTATTCTTAAATACACAGCATCAGGCAAATGCAATTACAAACCTGAGGAGGACCAGAGTCTAATCTAATAAAGTAGACGTGGTCTTTGTGGTGAAAGCCTGCCACTCCTGAGATGGCACTCTCAGCCAGAGTGCTGTCGCCCCTGTAGGAACTGACTCATGCAACTGTTCAGAGTGCACAGCAAGAACAGTCAATTCAACTTTTTTATTCAAGCCCAGTGGTGAGAATCTTTCCTGATTAAACTGTTGAATGACTGGAACCAAACTTAACAACAGCCTGTGTCTTGTTAATGAGACGTTTTAGGTTCAGAAAGCATGAATCTGTCACTTTATCCTGCGAAAAACAACTTAGCTAGCTCCAGAGTTACAGCAAGGTGTTACATTGTTTGGTTTCACGCTGCGGCTGGTTCAAGGCATACGCACAACTCTTACATTGTTGTCACAAATAAATCAATTAAGGCATACGCACAACTCACAGAGATTCTACAGAAACACAGTCTTTATCATCTCATAAGTCTTTGCCAAAACAGGGAGGAAAAAAAAAAGTCATATTGCCTAATTTTGAGCCCCCCGCCTCCCACACACACATTAAAATCTTGCTACAAAACTCAACAAAACTCGACTTCATTTAAAACGCTGTAATTCCTACAAAACTTACATTGTTGTCACAAATAAATCAATGCAATTTTTATACTGAAGATATTGAAAATAAAATTAATTTTACTCGGCCCACCATTTGTGCCCCTATGCGGGGCCTGCCCCACACTTTGAGAACCACTGGGTAAATTTGAGATTATTCTTTATTATCATGGTGGATGAAGTGTTTAGTGCTCTTGTCAGACAACAACAGAAGCAAAGTTTTACTGTTGAATCCCTTTGGTCATAGCTACTGTATTTAACCCAACACATCAACCGCTGAGTTTGGCCAGGCCTCCTGTAATGCCAAAAAGAATTTAGCAGTAGAGGAATTCATTATTTTTCAGGAACTGTAATAAAAGAATGCAAATGCTCTTTGATTGGTCGGCCTGTCCTTATACAATAGAGAAACACAGCAACTCATTGTGCACTGCTTATTAAATATTTTATACATACATGTTAGTGAATAATTAGAAGATGCTTTCACAGAGTTACTGTGAGCTGTACGGCGCTCATGGCCCTCGGTTCTAGACTTTTCCCCTCCTTCTGTGCTTCCCTTAGTTTCACTGCTTCTCTCTCCATTTCTTTTGTGAAGGGCTGTAAATCTCTATCACGTATAAATCTGAGCGTAAAATAAATTGCCAGTCGTATCGGGCGAGTACAGTATATACTGTGACGGCCTGGTTCTTTGTTCTCTTTCTATACTGTAGATTTACATCCAAATGTTGTTGTGACTACGTGAAGAATAACGAAATCTGAACGCTGCAGATAAGAAGGTTTGTTTCACGCATGTTTAATGGAAGTGGCTGGTCATACAAAAAAAAATAAAAAAATAAAATGCTGCTCTACTCTTAGGGGTGAAAGAGTTTAATTCAGTCTTGGACTTGAGCTCATCAACACAGACCATCTCACTCAGATTACAAGTTCCTCTAATTAAAATCTCAATGGCTCTAAATGGCTTGTCTTTGCTGAAGGAAACCCACTTTGCCCTTATTATAGGACACCAGGAGAGGAAAGACACGCGGCTGTCTCGTATAAGTGCTGCTGTAATCCCATTAATCTGTGGCAGAGTGATTAACACGTACAGTGTAAGTCATTTCACCCACATGTATGACCTTTACTTCACTGTTTTTGTTGCCCTCTTTAAAGTGTTCTTTTCTTCTTCATGTTGCTCCTCTGCAATATTAAAGTGGTACACACTTACAGGAGGAACGTTCATTTTGTGCAATTTTTCATTCAGGCTAATAAGAAGTAAGCAGTTCAGCCTAGACCTCTCTCACTTTAGGCACTGATGAAAACTGAAAACGGTAGAGTTCTATTTAACATCCTGATGTTTCTAGAAGGAAAACTAGTGAAATGTAAAATTATTATGATGACAACTATCAAATACCAAGCACTGATTATGTTACAGGTATATAGCTTTAAGGGTAACATTCGTCACTCAGCCTAAATACTCACGCATACACACATACAGACACAATAAAAGATGATGAAAACTAAACTACCTCGATCTAAATCGGACATCGTACTTGGGAAACCAGCTTCCCGTGTTGCCTGAAAAGACAAAATCTTTTTGTATATTGATTACATTTTTTTGTCTCTCAGAATTGATTCGTGAGACTTTTCATTTATATTGACTTTTGTCTCTCAGAATTGATTCGTGAGACAAAGCCTTTCGTTCTGTCTAAATTATTGGTGTAAATGTGTCATCAACACATCAATGTTCGAGTTAATTTACCCGTCAACCCTCCTCTCCCCGTTATAGAATCTGTGGGCTGGGGGTGTGAAATACAGTAGGTGTTGAACCACTGCTCCTGCTCGGTACGAACAGTGTATGTCATGTCACCACCGCCAGTTACTAGTTTTAAATAGAGTTCACACAGAAACATGTCACAGCATATGGCTGCTAAATTATTAAACACAGAAATCAAGCTGTGTTTATGTGCCGCAAGATTAAATTAGAAATGTGCTAAATGTAAGCACAATAACAAGAAGCGCCGGAATCTGGATTCTGTCATGGACTTGAGTACATTAATTAACGCACTACAACTTTTTGTGTGATTAATGAAGTTAGATAACTTTAATTTAATTTACATCAAGTAAAGATTGAAAGTAAAACACCATGGAATATTACACAAAGCTGCGACTAAAACCTCTGCTGTTCATGTATTCTATTACTTGAAGAACCTTAAAAGTGAAAAAAGAAAAAAAAATTGTAATTTTAATAGTGTGTGAAAAGTTGTTAAACCTGATCAACTAACCTACTGAATTCGATGTGTGAACATGTCGTTCTCCTCACTGGACAGTCGTCAAACACATGTACAAAACATGTAAGGCAAGAGATGTTAACTGAGTAGAATTCCACAAAACATTCGTAATTTATAATAAAAAAAATCTGGAACATTTCCCTGTTTCTCAGTCAAGCAGGTCAAACCAAGCTTGACCAAAAGACTCTTGAGTTTTGTCAAAAAATTCTCAAAATGATTTGGTGTTACTTTAGCTTAGGCTAATATTGAGCCATGTAAAACAGTTTGATAAAGTAAAAGGAAAAGAGGACCTAGTGCTAAAATTAAAAAAAGTGGATTCAACAATAATTACTTTGCGGTCTTTCTGTCTGAGCTACTGTAGATTTTTCTGCTGAAGAGTCTCATTTATATTCAAGCATGGCCGTAAAGTTGAATTACCGAAAATTGTAAAAATGTGTTTAAAACGTTGGCTGCCAATGGAAAGATGGGCCATCTACTGAAGGAGAGAAGCTTCTACAGTGGTCAACTAAGAATGTGTGATTGCTCACGCTACAATATACTGTATACATGGATGGTTAACATAACGTTTGTTTCTGCAGAGCATTAGGATGCGACAACAGACGAATGTCGTTTTACTGACAGAATCATGGGAAGATTGATATGACTGTGGAATTTTCAATATACGCTTCAAATGCTGGGGAGTGCAGAGCTGGGGGAAAAGAGTGAAATGGAAGGAAAACACTCCAGGGAACGAGCAAAAAAGCAGAAGGCTGACATGAAGTGATACATGGCTGGTAATAAGTGAGAAATAAAAGAAGAAGAAAAAAGTGGAAGAAATAAAAACAGCATTCTTTTACCCGTTGTAGCATTGTATGACACACGAGTTATGTCAGGCTACTTTCAACTGATCTTAAAACGTTTTTTTTTTTTGCCTTTGTCATGGTTCTATACAAACAAATAAATATTGAACAAACAGAAAGGAGGTGTGTTTTCTTATATGTTTCTCTTATATTCTCATATGTATATATTCACTCAAAAGAATCACTTGGTAGACTTATACCGGGGATGTCAAACATACGGCCCGCGGGCCAAAACCGACCCACTTGATGAATTTTGAACATAAAAAATACACAAACATATAATGTCCAGGAAAGGTTTTGTAAAATTATATCATTAAAAGTAATACAAAAATCTTATATATTTGTACTTCTTCGCAAAACAAAGGGGAAAAACATGGACTTATTGTTATTTATAGCCCACCTGACTGATCTAATCAGGTTTCATGTGGCGCCTGAACCAAAATGAGTTTGACACCCCTGACTTATACATTTTGACACACCACTGTCTGCTCTGCAGCTGATGGCGACATACCTGGAAAAAAATTCTTGCTTTCCATTTTTGTTATGCACAAATCATTCAGTTTGTTCTGACAGCACACTGACAAGAACCTGATGTCAGCATTATTGTCCATTTATGACTAAGCTAAAAAGTCAAGAAGGAATAAGGCAAAAATATCAGTGCAGAAAAAAAAAAAGAACGCTGAAAATTTAACGGGCTCTTTGAAAGAGTCGTGTTTTAATGTGTTGTTACAAAAGGCGGGGCCAGAGTGAGGTAGGACTTCCACCCGCCACGATGAAGGTTCTGCAGTGTATTCCCAGCTCTTCATTCACCTCTGCTGTTCCTGCCTGTCTTTTTCTGTCACCTGTCTCATGAGTTACTAAGATACATTTATATTTAACCTGATACACACGTTCACACAGAAAGAGAGAGAGAGAGGGAGAGAGAGAGTGTCACGAGCTGCATCAAACTATTATGCTGCCCCCAGGTGTTTACTATGACAACAAGCTGACTGCATTACTTTAATATAATATCCCCCTTTGTTTGTGGGTGTGAAGCCACAAGGATATTTTGAAGATAAAGTAATGACTGAAGCCACTGTATATTCACTACAAATGGAAAGTCACTGCTCTATTGAAGTTGGTTTTGTTTTGGCAATGGCATGGCGCCGCCTTTGAGCCATGTGTATATAAACTTGACGCTGCATGATGGTCATTCATTCACCACAGACTCTCCACAGATGCTGGCACCACAGCTTCACCACAGACTCTCCACAGATGCTGGGCATCAACGGCAGAGCCATAACCAAAACCAAGCCAACTTCAGGTGATTTAAGGACTTGTACCATTATAAGGTGTTATATAAGAAGTATCGGCTAATATAACCTTGTTGTTGATTGACAAACCAACAGCAGGTGGAGACACTTAATATTTAGAGTAAAGTCTTGTGTCAGAGTTAGCCTTCTGCTAAAGTTGAACAAAAAGCACAGACCTTTGGGACAACAATTCTAAAAACGACACCACTGTTTGGTCCTCATTCATATCCAACATCCATTCAGTACAACAACACATACTTCCTTCAGTTCAAGAAGAGCATCCAGATGTTGAAAATATGATTCCCTTCTTTTCTTCCCCCAAGTCTTCATTGTCTCCCCAGTTGCCTCCCCTTCTTCCTCCTACCTCCTCTCTCTGCTAATGAGCAGGGTAATTAAGGTTGGCCCAGGCCAAAGGGAGAGGGGGAGGTGTAAGAGGGAGAAGACAAAATAGGAGGAGAGGAGGAGGAGACCCTGCCTAGCCTGGTGCTCCAGATAGCATTAGTTTTCTCCCTTTCTCTCCCTCTCTCTGACATATAGCCCAATGCTTAATTAAACATGCCTCAGAGGGAGAGAAAAGGGAGAGGGAGGTGAGCAGGGGAGTAAAAAAGAGAGTTGGAGGAAGGGAGACTGAAAAGTGAAGGTGATGCAAATGCAGAAGAAGAGGCAGATAAGAAGCTGGTGATGTAGTGTTAGAGGAGGGAAGGTGGGAAGAGTGAGGGGAAAGGTGGGGAGATAGGAGGAGATGGAGGCTGAAGGCTGTGTGGTTAGTGAGCCGGGGAGGGAGTAAGATGGAGATAGAAGGAGGAGCTGGGGGGGTTCAGAGTAAGGTAAGAGAGTTGGAGACGAGGACATGTGCAGTAGGAAGAATATGTTTGGTTGATGAAGGCCAAAGGGAATTAAAGAGTGGGTTGGGGTGAGAGAAATTGGATTACTATAATAGATGACAATAATAGCAAAGAGGCTCCCACACGGCCAGGCGGCGGCCACCCTGGAGAAATCAAAGTAGTGAAAGTTGCGGCGAGAAATGATATCTGCATCCGCATTTTACAACAGAAAGTGAGACAGAAACATGACAGTAATCTCCAGCCCTTCCAGCAACACAGAGGTTGATGAGTTTACAACCCATCGGTTCAAGTGTATCGTGTTTGTGTCACACCGCGAATGCCGCATCATTTGAAATCTGTCGCACAAAACACTCACATCCACCGGCTCCAGCAAGCCTCCCCGAGAGCTTTGCCTAACTGTTGAAACCAGTGTGAAGAAACAAATCGGTCTAATGATGTGACTAGAAGATAGAAAGCTGACGACCTTGACTGTGGACAGTCTTAACACCCCACCGAGAAAAAAAAAGAGGCCAGAATTGGCTAATCTACTGAACTAACGTGAAAGATTTTTCTTATTTTGTGGAATCACTGAAGCAGATTATTATGGATTATTACACATAAACCCACACTTTAACACTATCTCACTAGTCTGGAAACTTAGATCTGACCTAGAAGTGAAGAAAAGTTGGGAGGCTTTATTTTTCGCTGCTCTGACTCGGACCAAATGGACCACAAACGTAACAATTATTGTGATGGTGGGGATCCTCCCCCGCAGACAAAATGTACACAATTACTGCAATTACTCAAAACCAGCAATTCAGGCCACTTTGCTGTGACCTGGGGAGCTGAGAAAAAATGGTTTGACCAACCTGTGTATATCTCTCCCTGCAGAGTTTAGAGTTCTTTTGGTAACTTTTCACCTCCCTCAGAGTTCTTAAAAACAGATTTGATTTTTCTGGATAAATCCATAGAAGGTTCCCATATATATATACAGATATATATATATATATATATTTTTTTTTTTTTCTGCTTCATTTTATGTGTGTGCAGCAGTCTGAGGCCCACCCCGAGTGTTCTCATTGGTGGGTGATGATGCCAGTCCAAAGTTTAAAGTATTAATCAACACCTTTTTTTACTTATGGTTTTACTGTTGGTGTACAGTATTCAAAGCTGGTGAGCAGCTCACTTTCAAAACAACAATAATCGTAATAACTTGACAAACCTTCCTCAACATTGTTATCTATGCACAGTCAGCTGCCGGTGTCAGTGTTAGGCCCTAACTGTGTTACACGAGTCAGCATTTATTCTAAAAAAGAGACACAACGAATGCCTCACACTTTCAGAATCTCAGCACGTCACAGACAGAAACATCATAAATGCTATGTTGTTGACTCATCATCCATTATGTGATGACACCAGAATAATAATGTGCTCATGCTGTCAAGATGTAATCACATTTCCAGCTAAAACCCACTGCTAAATTATTATTGGTTTACAAGAACTGCTGCTTGCACACGGCTCAAATTACAAGAGTTTGTGAATCAACAGTTCCTTTTGCAGGGTTAAGCTGTGATTAATTTGGATGGTAGTACGCCATTAACTGTTACAATCCTCTCTGATGGCACAGATTGAAATGAGTTTAAATAACATTAGAGATTACTATCTGCAGAAGGCAACACTTGAAGTGTTGTTGCACTAAATAACGTCTACTTGAGTCATGGGGAGGGGGGGTGGGGGGAGGGGCAGTGGTCCAGTGGTGAGACTCCTGCCTGCCACGCACCAGAAGGTTCCAGGTTCTGTACCACCTAGGCCTGCAATCCCAGGTCGGATTGCATAAGGAAGGTCATTAGGTGTGAAAATCACTATGGGACTACTACTGTAGTGTACTCCTCAGAGTACTAAGAGAAATTACTTCATAGTGGAGTTGAACTTTAATACATTTAACGTCATTAATATTTTGACTTTACAGCTTTTAATTAGCAGATAAAGAGTTCTCTCTCAGCATGTTTTTTGAAAGGTGACATCACCTGGATTGGTCCTTGGTACAAAAAGAAAAAAAAAATTCAAAAATACTTCCCCAGGTTCACTTGTGTCTGTGACACTCACTGGTATCTGTCCCCATTTTTTCTCCTAACTTGTTGAGATAAGCGATGCTAGTCTTTGTCCAGTGGCGGTCTGGGTGACAACATTTAAACTAAATCACTGACAGGTGCAGCTTAAGAGTGCAAATGCAGTGGCCTGGCGTTACCAGCGGTGTCCACGACATCAATTAAAACATAAGCAGGGATCTTAGAGATTAGGATTTAAAATGTACTGAGGTGAAGAAGCAGGCGTTTTAATTATTTGTGTGCAGAGAGAAAGAGCTACTCACATCGGCCATTAGAGGAGAAAATATACACTGGACAGCTTACCGCTAAGTGCTCCTGCTAGAATCATGTTAAACTTTTAAGTCCTTCACCGCCCAGAAACATCTGACACTGTAAGGTAAATTAATTATTGTTGAACAGGATTCTTAGAGAGTCAACCACACTCTTTAACGTAGTTGGCGTGAGTATTACAGAGTAACACAGCTTCGAGAAAAACCTACATTCTATACCTGTCCCAGAAAATACACAAAAGTCATTACTATTGTATCCAAGTACAGAAAGCAGTTTTTGTTTACTGCAGTGAATTGATGTGGTCTTTAACATTTGAAAGCACACTGTTAACTCATACTGATGTTCAGTGTTGTGCACTTACTGATGTCTGTTTATTGTACAGGTGTCCTTAATGCAGCAGTCAACAACCAGCGGCACCATCTGTGTCCACTAAGTGCCACTGGGCCTCCACTCTTTGCTCTATGCCAGCAAGTACAACGACTCCATTAATAAGCCTCACACTTCT